TTAACCACTTTGGTCGCGTTAATATCACATTAATACATATGAATACCATTTGACTTTACGAGAATATAAAATGTTTGGTTACATCCGAACTTAGCCCCTCCCTAATTGTTTATATTATTTGTATTATTTTTTTTTTTGTTATTTTCAATTTGTGCTTTTGTATTTGCTTTGCTAAATAAGAAAATTCATTGCACATCATTCACTTTAATTACTTTTGTGGAAAATTGTGGCACATTTAAATGTCTTAAAAATGATTTAGCAGTTTTTCATTGTAAAGCTTTACAAGCCTTTGCTCAGAGAAATAATATATGTATCTGTATACACGATAATTATATAATTTAGAAAACGTTAAAACAGAAAATATATCAACATAATTATAATTTATGTTAAAGATTAAATAAAAAACTGTATGTGATTTTAGTTTTAAAAGACTTTTTCAAGAATTACTAGATAAAATATAGATTTATTAATGTTCTTGAAAGATTTTGTCAATGTACATAATCAAGAATAAAAAGAAAAACAATCTGTATATAAGCTTGTCTATTAAGACTTTCAATATTTATTAAACTTACAAAAACAACATTTGATTTTTTTTTACAACTTAAATAGTTATGAGACAAAAATGACAGCCTGCTACTAGAATTCCGCAAAGCCCCAAAAGCAGAACATAACATCAAAAATAGTTGTGTGAATATCCCAAATGGTGATTTGACACGGATTTTATCCGAGTGAGATCTAATATTTCGATTATCTAACCCTATATGGTTCGGTCCCCAAAACCTCGTTATTTAAATCATCAAAATGATTACTATAAATTGTTTACTTGTATTGTTGCCTCGACTAGTCAAAGTTCTTTTCCATTATTAGTCAAAATCCTATGTTATATACTTGAAGAAATATTATTTAGGCATTAATTAAATTTAAAATAAAGAGCTTGTTTACGTTGGATTCGTTTTTGGGGTAAAAACCACGACTTCAGAGGCGTTTGCAAAAAAAAATCAACTTGGGAAATAATGTACACCGTAATATATATTATATGTATGTATAGATATATAAATCTATCTCAAAATACTAACTAACTAGAAACATTTAGATGTTTTAACACCCGATACTTTTGATAATCCAAGATTTACTTATGGGTTGTAGAAAATTGATCCGACTGGTTCGGCTTACATATGTATGTAATTATTATTTTTTTTTTAGATATATTAGAGTAAATTCGAAAAATATATGCATATGTTATTTAGAGAGAAAGTTCGCGAAATAGTTTAGCATGGACAGTGGTGTATCACCGATCCATAGTATACTGAAACACCAGGTAATATTTCTTCGCTATCTTTTTTTCAATTTAACGGAAAATACTGAACATACTACAATATATGTCCGCTTTGCACACGTCTTTTGTCCCAAGAAGCTACTAATTTGTCGGAACCTTATACCCGCCATACAAACTGCTTGATCAAAATCTACTCCTTGTATGGAAATTTTTTTATTTAACAATATATCTGCATGAAATTTGGCATGGATGATTGCTCAAAACCGCGCTAGAATCTCCAAACAACTAGAAGTAGCACTATATCACCGAGATATTTACATATACATATATATTACATAGGTGCATAAATGTCGTACAAACTTCTTTTGTTTTGATTGCAGATCGAGCAATAATAATTAGATGCTGCGAGCTCAGCATCACATGAGAAACGAGAGTTATTGTTTGTCAAATTTTATTAAAGCAAAAGTTTAGAGGTGACATTTTTTTAATGCACAATAATAACATACTTTGACGCTATTATGAATTTGGGTATATAACTTGGATATATCAGTGAGGCATATAAGCAAAGACTCGTACCAAAATTTTATTTATTAACAAGTAAGGAAGGGCTAAGTTCGGATGTAACCGAACATTTTATACTCTCGCAAAGTCAAATGGTATACTCGTTTGAGATTTCTTTGTGTATTGACTGATATTTTCGGTAGAAGGTCAACTATAGGCACTGGGGTCCACATATTTAGTACTTAGGGGTTTGAACAGTTTTGGTTCGATTTAGACAATTTTTGGCCGCAAGGTGGCATACTTTAATTGCATTATTCACGCAAAGTTTTACGCCGATACAATCATTGTTGCTTGATATGCATAGTGGAAAGTGAAAGAATCAAGTGGTATTTAAAATGGTGTCATATGGAAAATAGGCGTGGTTGTAATCCGATTTCGCCCATTTTCGCACTATGACATAGAAACATGAAAAGAACGTTACGCACCAATTTGGTTGAAATCGGTTAAGCAGATCTCAAGATATGGGTTTTCACCTAAAAGTGGGCTGTGCCACGCCCACTGTCTAATTTTGAACGCGGTTCCTATAAAGTCATCTTATACCATCTCAGAGATAAAATTTAATGTCTCTGGCGTGTTTAGTGCTTGATTTATCGCGCTTTTAGTAGTTTTTAACAGTACCGTTATATAGGGAGTGGGCGGAGTTGCCACCCGATTTCAACTATTTTCACACCGTCAATAGAAGTGCTAAAAACATTTGCTTTCAGTGAATTTTGTTATTATAGCATTAGCGGTTTAGGAGATATGCACATTAAAACTATTAGAGGCGGGACCACGCCCACTTTTTAAAAAAAAGTTTTAACTGCAGATGCCCCTCCCTAATGTGATCCTGTGTACCAAATAACAGTCTTGTATCTTATTGCGGAGCTTAGTTATGGCAAGTTATTTGTTTTTGATTAATGGCGTTTTGTGGGCGTGGCAGTGGTCCGATTACGCCCATCTGCAATACCAACCGTCTCACGGTACCATGAAACATGTCTACCAAGTTTCATAAAGATATCTCAATTTTTACTCAAGTTAGAGCTTGCACGGACGGACGGACGGACAGACGGACGGACGGACAGACAGTCACCCAGATTTCAACTCGTCTCTTCATCCTGATCATTTATATATATATAACCCTATATCTAACTCGATTAGTTTTAGGTGATACAAACAACCGTTAGGTGAACAAAACTATTATACTCTGTAGCAACAGGTTGCGAGAGTATAAAAATAGAGCAGGTAGATTTTGGGAAGAAGATCTAAAAGTCTCAAGTTTTATAGCCGCGGATAGTTAAAAAAAAATATCATATCCATCAATCTATTGATTTTTCCGATTTTTTACACAGAAATATAATTCGAACAAATTTTATCGACTATCAAGAGTCTAAGCAAATCAGTGCCGATATGAAGAGGAATCCCCATCACTTGGGAAAGAAAAAAAATGTTGATATTGCTATCTACAACGATCGCACAAGTATACCATACCGAACCACATCTACGATAACTGTTAATAAATTACGTAAGTATAATATTATTTTTTAAGTATGCACAAAATTAGTGGAGGGCTTGGCGAAATAACTCATAAAATAATTGTTTTAATACTACCGCAGAAATTCGTTATTTATAATTTCTATAATTGTGAACTTTAAAAACTGCGTTAAAGTTTAGAAATCATACAAATATGAATGAGAGATATTTATTATATTACTACAAGTGTTTATTGGCGCATGCAGAATATTTAAGTATGTATTTCAATTTGAAACGATGATTTAATTTATCAAACCTTAAAAAAACTTATTTCACATTTTGTCTTTTTCAATAATATTTTGTTTCATAAAGACAGATAATGACGACCAAAGTCTAATAGTGATATTAGACGCTGGAGTGGGTGTGAGATCAAAACAAGAAAAAACGTTAACTTTGGTTGTACCGAATCAAGAACACTCTTTACAAATGAAGAAGTTTCCATACAAGAACGTTCATTTTGTATGACAGCTATATAAACTTTATTTTGATCGTTCAGTTTGTATGGCAGCTAAACGCTTTAGTGGTCCGATATCGGCGTTTCCGACAGATGAGCAGAACATTTTTTTATACCATGAACAGGGTATATAAATTTTGCCATAACGTTTGTAACATCCCGATGGAGACCTTATAAATTACAAAAGATCAACGTGGCGAGATGAGTCGATTTAGCCATGTCCGTTTGTCTGTCTATATATCCCCAAAGTAGTCAGTTTTTGAAATATCGATCTGAAATTTTACACTCGGCTTGTTTTCCCTAAGAAACTGCTCATTGGGCGGAACCGTCAATATCGGGCTACGATATGATATGACTTTCATACAGACTGATCGATCAAAATCAAGTTTTTGTATAAAAAACTTTTTTGTTTGACAATATATCTTTACGAAATTTGGCACAGATTATTTTCCAATGCAGGGCTAAAATCACGGATCATATTGGTTAAATCGGAAGACTATAGCATACAGCTGCCATACAAACTGATCGACCAAAGTGAAGGTCTCATATAGAAAACTTTTTTATTTGACCAGATATCTTCACGAGCTATAGATGTATTCACGATGTAGATATTAATTAATATAATCCATTGTTCAACTTGTATACTAGATTTTGCATACATTTAGTTTTTATGTTATAATTTTTCCAAATGTAAAAGCTCAAAACTAAAATCCATTTATTAAATACAGTCTACCTATTTATAAATAAATGTATTCGACTGTGATTTTGAGTTAATTTAAGAATATTTCTAGTATATTGAAGTTTATTTTTTCATTACTACAAAATATCGAGACTGGCAACCCTGCGTTGCAAGAGAGCAATCAGCTACTCGTTTCTACGTGAAAAATCCAATTTTCGCTGATATCCTACCGTACGGTCTGTTGAAGCGGACGGTAGAAACGGTGGTGACTGTTCATTTACATTGCGTTCTCATAAGATAGGTCGTATCAGCTGATTCGGTCAACGGTTTTGCGTCGGTGACAGCATAATTTAGTTTCATAGATTTTGTAGGAAATTAAATGCTGACTGAACAAAATCAAGGTAAAAGTCTTCTTGAAAGATTTCATTGCCGTATTAAGTAACTTTAATTCGACTGAACATTTTTTTTCTCGCAACTAATTTAATTTCATCGAATTTCATTTATAATACATAATAACATACCTTTATGCAAATTCGAAGAAATTTTCGTTCACAAGCGTTGAAATCTGCAATAAATAATTTAAAATATAAGTTCTAGTTGTTTTTGTGTTGAAAAACCTTTCATATAATAATTTGTATGATGAAATATAATCACCGGATATATAATAAAATAAATTAGTTGAATATGTTTGTTTGTGTATATGTGTATTTCAACATCAATTGTTGTCTTTAAAATTACCATTGAAGCTTTCACAATGACGACTTAGGCAAATAATTTATTGAATGCATAGAGCTAAAAGCAATACAAGCACGGATACTAACAAACATATGTACTTACGTACATATCTCAGGCAACAAAAAAAAAGAATTGTAAATCAACGATTAAATGAGGACGTTTGTTATTGCATATTTACTGCGCTAATATCTTTTTATGAATGAAAATGTTGCTTGAATGTATGTGTGTAAAATGCACTGTATGCAATTCACATGACAATAAAATTATAAATAAATTACAATGGCAGAATCAAACAAAGGCACTTATCGTCAGCTACACACACACACATGCATATATTACTTGTCAATATGAGTATGTATGAGTGTTTGTGTCTAATTTTAACGGTAATCTAAGCGTTTTGCTGGAAATGGATGTAATTCATCCATTCAAACTTCGAGAGAACCATAAAATTATGCATATATACATACAATCATGTAAATATGTAATAAACATACAAATACATATGTAAACATTAATATAATATATAAATATATGCATACATACATATATAAATAATGATATTATTATTCTTGTCTTTTTATCAAACAATCGATTTATAAGTAATTTGTCATTATTTGTTTACACAATTAATGATTGCTTATAAAAGTGGGCTAACGGCATTGTTATGCAAAATAATTCGACCAAATGGTGACACGCAATTATTAACAGAATAACATTTATCAAAAGGTTCTGGAGATATAGTGATTAATGACTGTCAAAGGAACAATTTTATCATTTCACTGGGGTTAAGTTTACAGAGAAAATATATGTATATAAATCGATATCTACATATACATACGTACATATATACATATATAACAAATAAATCGTTAACTTCGGCTACAACGAAGTTATAATACCCTTCACAGGTGTAGTTTTTAAACATAAAAGGGTGTACATAAATCTTTATCTTGATTTTGATCGATCAGTTTGTATGCCGGGTAAAAGCTATAGTGGTCCGATCTGAACAAAATGTTCGGAGATTTCAGCGAAGGCTCTGGTAATATGCCAAATTTCGTAAATATATTTCGTCATTGATCGTTCAGTTTGCATGGCAGCTACATGATATAGTGGGCCGATATCGGATTAAAATGTAAAATTCCAATCGTAAATATCGGATTGATAAATCCAAAAAAATATCATCCCAACTTTACAGTTAAAAATTAAAATATTTGGCTAGCAACCCGCAAAAGTAGTTGGCAACCCTACATTGTATTTATTTTATTAAATACAATAATAAAACATAAGAATCGTTTTTTTATATTCGAAGTATTTCATTTTTTACAAAACAATAAATTTTTGGCAACCTGATTACGAAAAAGTAGTATGTATTCCAACTGTTGTAACATCTGAAAGTTTTCGAAAATTATGTTTTCTAGCAGCCCTCACTATATGGTAGATAGAGAATGTCAAAGCTCCGGTCGTATACATATACTTTCATAAAATTTCAACAAATATTTAAATAGTTTTACGGACCTTATATTCTCAGAAAAAATCTAAACTTATAATTATGAGCCTGTAAGACTCAGATTGAACCAGAAGGTATAAGTACAACAGTGCTCAAAGATTTCATTTCATTTTAAAGTATAGATCTTTTTATGTACTTTCGTACCCTTTTTCTCAATCCAACAGAAACTTACAGTTATATTAGATATTCCTGGGAAGTCCGACTACAATATTAATGTTTGGAATCTATTGTGATTCTAAAGTTCCAGAATTTCAGACAGTAATTACAAAACTCTATTATGAATACGTAAATATAAAGAAGAAACGATCAAAGTGGTTGACGACTACCGAATAATATTTTAATTAATAAGGTCGTAGAATAGATAGTTAAGGATGCATAAAATACCCTAAGAATACCTAATACTTCTTTACGCGGAAAAGGGTACATTAAGTTTGCCACCAAGTTTGTAACATCCAAAAGGAAACGATCAGCGTGACGAGCTGAGGCGATTTAGCCATGTTCGTCTGTCTGTCTGTATATGCGCGAAATATCTCCTCAGTTTTTGAAATACACTATAGCATATAGCAATCATACAGATCAAATAAAATCACATAATTGCCTGAACAAGTTCTTTTTTTGACAAGATATCTTTACGAAATTTGGCATAGATTACTATCAAAGGAAGCCCTATATTCTTCGGAGAGTCTATGGTTCAGGTCGATTCACTATAGCATAAAGCTGCCACACAAATTGCCCGATCAAAATGTCTTATTCAACGAGATTTATTTTCACGAATGAATTATTGTCCCAAGCAGCGACACCGGTCAAAATTAAGACAACGATCTATTTTATTATTTTATGCTATAAGAAATGCACACAACAAAATCTCACCTACAAGGTCCGCCATTGCAGAGAAATGGAAATAATTACGAATAGATTTCGTATTAGAGGTTGAAGAAACATAACACAGTGGTATCAAATTGAATTAATCATTATAAAGGCTGTAAGGCAACTGCAGATACCAGCTTCTAGTTCTTTTATTTCTACGTCGATCGAATTTTCTGAACTGAGTTATTTACAAGACTTTGTACCGTACTAAGTAAGAGAATACGGTACTAGGAGTTCGTTTTACATGCAATCCATCAAAGCTTAAAATTTCTCAATATATTATGAAAGATGAGTTATTTACTACAAGCAACTGAAGAGAAACATTTTTTTTTAAACTTCTTTAAAATTATGCTCTATAACAATACGTAAATTTTTTATAAAAAAAAATTTTTTTAAATAAATGTTTACTCTCTTCTATTGACCACTTTGTGCTAAGTATATTTATACAAGATAAGTACGCAAATCTAACTGCAGTCTCCATAATTCATGCCACAAAACAGCATAACTCAAATATTTACAAACTACTAAAAGCAAATATATAAGGTAAATATGTGTCTACAAGTAACTGCTGCAACAGATTCTTAAGAAACTCAAGCATACAACCTACGCTTTTCTCACATTTCTTTGGGCTAAAATGGGTAACCTAAATAATTCAACATTCAACCACGGCTAAGCAAATTTGCAAATAATGGAGGAATCTCAAACAATGCCAACCCAACATCCTATACAAGTGGATAAATGCATATGTATTAAGGTGGGCTAAAAATATATTTTTCAGTTTTTTCCTTAAATACCGTAGAAGTTCTAGAAAAGTTTGAGCTCTTAATATTAATATTTACTAGTGGCACATTGTGATTTTTGATTTCCCATAGCACAGAAATATTTTCATATTTTCTTTGAATGTTTGATACATTATTATATAATGGAAACTATTCTTGTATGAAATTTAACGATCTACGAAAAAGGTTTAATATGATTTTTTGCTAAGTTGGCTCGTTCAAAAGTTATTCGAGGTCAAAGTCCAATCTTTAATCGTAAAAAAGAATTTCTATAATTCTTTAAATTTTGTCACAAAATATTGTGACTTTATCAGTATTTTCTTCGAACGATATTTTCACGGTATTCAAGGAAAAAAAATTAAATTTTTTTCTTTTTGTTCTGGCTCACTCTAATATGTATGTATGTCGATATGTATGTATGTGGAAGCAACAACAAGTACCGGTAACTGAATAAAGCCGCTTTCAGATCAAGAGTTAGACAATAGCGTACCTAGAGACGAAGTTGGTGAAGAATTAGAATACAAATTAGTAGCGCTGTTATGAGAATGCCACTAACACCCGCTAGAGGAGATGAGGCGAAGTGGGGAGGAAGCGAACGGGAAACTCATTGAAAATTCCATAAACGTAATTAGAACATGTAAATGTTGCAAAAAAAATCCCGGCATATTTGAATGGCTGACTGGCAGACGGATGGCTTGAGGAATGCAGAGCAGATGTGTGTATGTATTTGTGTGTGTGTGTGGTGTGTTTGCATACAAATATCACCAAAGAAATGATTGCTTAATGGCTTCGTTTGGCTCATGACTTTGCTGACGACGATTCTATGAATGAATTATTCGCCACTCTTTGAATACTTTGCCGCTTTTTCCTGCTACATTTGCTGTTGTTGTTATTGCTGTCGTGGTTTTTATCCAGTTGAAGCAGCAGCTTGTGGTACAAGTAGCACATAGAGCACTTGCGTTTCCATAGAAACATAGCGAAGAATTCGATAGTTTGCTACTGTGTGATATATGTGAGTATATATATATGTATGTGTGTATGTCTGTATGTCTTTATATATGTACGTCTTTATGTATGTACGTAAGTATGAGTATGTCTCTATATAAGTACACTCTTGACCAACCATACTCTCCTTAGCATTTGTCATTCGTAAGCGCCGACGCTGCTTCCAGACGGGCAAACTTACATTTTTATTTCTTGTAACTCTCCAGTTACTTACATGTATACATAAACATACCACATATACATAATACATGTATTCAAACATACATATACCATATATTAAGGCAGCTCGATAAGTCGATGAAGTTTTACGAATGAGAAGTGTATTTTTGCATTCGAATCGCGATAAAGATAGAATTACAAATGTCAGGAAAAGAGTCTTTTAATACAAACAAGTGAATATTTGACCATAACTGGCTTTATATAAAATTCATCATACATTAAACAACAACTTTCCGGTTTTTTAGAGAGAAAGTTCCGACTCTGGTGGCAACGACTACTTTTACTCACAAACACAACAAGAAACAAGAAAAAACGTTAGCTTCGGTTGCACCGAAGCTATAATACCCTTCACAAAATACAAATGCTCCTTACAAGAACTTATTCCGATCGTTTAATTTGTATGGCAGCTATATGTATAATGATCTGATCTGAACAATTTCTACGGAGAATACA